GGGAAATGCCTATGTTGAGAAACATTACATTATTTAAGTCTAAATTGCCCTATATATAAAGAATGATTTATCAAGAATTTAAAAGGCAACATTGCTCATTAAATTTGAAGTGGGAGTAGCCAAAGGACAGGAGAGGTATTTTTATTTGATGATCTCTTTACTTGATTCAGCTTCTGCATTTTCCAGCTTTTGCTTCCATCATCTGGGTAAACCAACTCTAGCTCCATACCTTAAAAAAAACTCAAACTCTTAAACAAGCACAGTCTTCCCACAGAAGAATGACTAACCAGAATTACACTACCAAATGCAGCTGTAAGCACTTGTCTCAATTTAAAGGGAGCTGTAAAGGTATTCAGGGACCCAGGTGTATGGGGACAATTAACAGAGTTACTGTAATGCTCAGAAGGAAAAAAAGACAAAAAGCGTCTGTCCAATGGATGGAAAATCCTATGACTGCCGGGTGAGATGACTGCTCAGTCAAGATGCTTACTTTTTCACTCATAGATTCTTCAAACTTGTGGTTAAAGAGGCACTTGTACACACGGCCTTCCCCAGCTTGTGTCTGAAACAGAATAGCAACATTAGATCTTCAGGAGAAAATACTTTTTTCATGCTTACCAAAATACAACTATCGTATGGAACCCAAAGCCAAGTTTTACATTACTAAAAGCAGTGCCCATTCATTATAGGAACAGCTAATACTTGTTAGTGTCACGATCTGATCCAACAGCTCTTTTTGTCAAGAAAAATTTTAAAGCTGAGTTATCCTTACCAACTCCTGTTTTTCCTGCTCTTTTTGCTATGGAATAACCTCCATTAATGCAAGGGAATATGATCTATATAGATCTCCTCCCCTGCTGCAACTCTCTATGCCAACGTTCTGGTAGCAGAGCCTGGGATCCATCTCACCTGCTGTTAAAAATCAGCTTAATGATAAAAGCAGGATCATAGAAAACTAAGGCTGGAAAGGACCACGTGAAGTCATCCAGTCCAGCTACCTGATCAAGGCAAGATCAGCCCCAATTAAATCATCCCATCTGAGGGGTATCTGACAAACCAAGCCCTCTGCTTACAAAAGCTTGCTGTACATCTGATTTAGTCCGAGATGCAAAAAAAAACTTACTTTGCCTTCTGACTAACATGAATAACCACCCCTCTAAACCATCCTAGTCAGATGTCTGTCTAACCTGCTCTTGACAATTTCCTGGGGTGGAGATTCCACAACTTCTCTAGTTAATACGACTCAGTAGGCTGTTGGCTTTTCTTGCAAATAATGCACACTGTTGGCTCATATTCACTATAAACCCCATGTCCTTCCCTGCAGCACTACAATCCAGCCAGTGATTCCCCAGTTTGTATTTGTGCATGCAATTATTCTGTCCCAAGTGCAGGACCTTTCACTTGTTCTTGCCGAATCTCATCTGATAGACTGGAAACTGGTCTGCAGTCTATCTAGGTCATTCTGGATCCTAGCCCTAACCTCCAAAGTGTCTGCAACTGACACCCAACTTGGTGTCATCTGCAAATTTGCTAAGTGTGCACTCAATCCCACTACCCAAATCATTAAGGTGTTAAATCATATTGGACACAGGACACACGCCTAGGCAACCCCACTTGATACCTCATCCAAACTAGACAGAGCCACTGACGACTACTTGTTGAGCACCATGATCCAACCAGTCATGCATCCCCCTTATAGTATTTTCATCTAGTCTGTACTCCCATAGTATGAAAATATCATGGGAGACAGCATCAAATGCCTTACTAAAATTAAGGTACATCATATCCACTGCTCTCCCCCGTCCACAGAGCCTGTCACCTTATCATGGAAGGAAATTAAGTTAGGCATGAGCTGTTCTTAGTGAATCCATGTAGGCTCTTCTTAAATCACCTTTTTCTCCTCTGTCAGGATCTGGTCCTGAACCCTAGCCTGGAGACTCAGAGACTTGAACATGGACAAAAGGTGGACTGGCACAGAGAGAGAGAGAGAGAGAGAGAGAGAGAGAGAGAGAGAGAGAGAGAGAAGACAGAAGAGAGAAGAGAGAGAGGCCACACTGGGAAAAGCCTCCTACTGCTGGTCCAATTGGCTCCCAGCTCCTAAATGAATCCTCCCACCTATATATGGGATCCTGTTGCCTGTGGAAGCTGTATGAACAAGGCCCTTTTTATTCTTAGACCATACTGACATTTCCATGCTCCTGTATCCCAATTCCAAATTGGATCACCCGCACTGCTGGCTCTGCTTGGACTTTGGCCTCTGTCTCAAACTGGACCGTTTGAAACTCATCTCTCCCAAGTACCTGACCCATCTTGCTCCCTGACTTTGCCTTGCTTGTTGTTTCCACTTTGACTTGGACTCTGACACTCTGGCTTCGACCATGCCATCCCTTGGACCATTGGCTCAAGTTAGCCACTAGGCAGACTGCCCATGCCTTAGCACATGACAACCTCTAGGTGCTTCACAATAGATTCCTTGAGTCCTGCTTCATGATCTTTCCAGGTATCAAGATCAGACTAACTGGTCTGTACTTCCCCAGATCCTCTTTCTTCCCATTCTTAAAAGACAGACAGTATATTTGCCTCCTTTCCCAATCATCCAGGACCTCCACAGTTTCTCAAAGACAACAGCTAATGTCTTTTAAATTAAATCTCACTCAATTCCTTCAGTACCCTAGGCTGTATCCCACCTGGCCCTGTTGATTTGAAAACAACTAGCTTCTTTAAGCAATCCCTAACCTGTTCTTCCACTACCCTAGGCTCTCTTTTTCTCCTTCTCCATCTTTGCTGCTAACTGCACTCATGATCTGGTTGCTGACCTTATTCATAAAGACTGAGGTAAAAAAGTCAAATACTTCCATCCGTAACTAGGTTGTCTTTTGCATTTAGAACCACACTTTCCTTAATTTTCCTCTTACTTGATATACTTATAGAATCTATTTGTATTGCCTTACGTCACCTACCAGTTGCACCTCAAATTATGCCTTGGTCTTCCTGATTTTCTTCCTGCATGCCCATACAATATCCTTATACCTTTCCTAGTAATATGACCAAGTTCCCACTTTTTGTAGGATTCCTTTTTGAGTTTAAATGCATTGAAGAGATCACTGCCACCCAGGCTAGTCTCTTGTTGCATTTCCCATTCTTCTGTTGCAGAAGATGCAGATAATTTGCATTAACCTTTTGATGAACATGAGCTGGCAGTGTAAGGAAGCCACCAACAAGGCCAACTGCACCTTGTCGTGCATTAGCAGATGGCATGACCAACAGATTGAGGGAGGTGATGCTCCCCCTCTATGCAGCATTGGTCAGACCACAGTTGGAGTACTGTGTCCAGTTTTGGGCACTGCACTTCAAGAGGGACATGGAGAATCTGGAGAGGGTTCAGAGCATGATTAGTGGCCTCTGTGAAAGACTGTATGAGGGGAGGTTGAAGGATCTGGATCTCTTCAGCCTTCACAAGAAACGTCTGAGGGGAGACCTTGTAGCTGCCTACAAGTTTATCAAGGGAGGACAAAAGGGAATTGGAGATGCGCTATTTACTAGAGCACCCATAGAAGTAACTAGGAATAATGAATGGGTGCGAACTGGTGGAGAGCAGATTCAGGTTAGACATTAGGAAGAATTTTTTTTTTTTTTTTTTTTTTTTTTTTTTTAAAGAGAGGGGGGACTTTTTACAGTAAGGGTGGCCAGAGTCTCGAATGGGCTTCCAAGAGAGGTGGTACCATCACCTAACTTGGAGGTCTTCAAGAGGAGGCTTGATAGATACCTGGCTGGGTTCATCTGACCTTGGTCCTCTTCCCTGCCAGGGGCAGGGGGTCTAACACGATGATCCTTTGTGGTCCCTTCCAACTTTACATTCTATGAATGAAGACTCTTTCCTCCTTCCTATCCACTTTGAGGCACTTCTCATAAAAACCTGTAGGAGTTCTTGGTGCCAAAGATTAGCTAAAATTAAGTCTAAAAAAGCAACATGAAGCATACTACTAAACCAGAGCACTAAATAAAAACCAAACTCTTTTACAGAGTTGCTGAACAGATCCCCCCCAAATTCTGACAGTGGAGAAGGGCAGCGTTCACCAATGAAAGCTATATTCTTTTGGGCAACCTCTTCAAAGCAGCTTTTGTTTACATGTTGCATTTTCAAAAGATAAATGAGTGAAGGATAAACAACAGGGGTTCCACTGATACTGTTTACTGTAGTAAAGTCTGTTCAGGCTCTTTTTCTGCCCTTTAGTTCTTGTTAA